CGCGCCGCTCGCCACTGCGGCGTTCCCGCTGCTGCGCGCGGTGGGAGCCGAGGCCCGGACCGACCGGCTTGGGCGGCGCGTCTCCACCCGGCCCGGGGCCGGACCCCTTCCTTGCAGCTTGGCTGCCCTCCCGCGTCACGTCGGCGGCCCGGGTCTCCGGACTGCCGGTCAGACCCCTGGGAAGCGCGGGCGTGCGGAGTGTACCGGCTTTTATTAACCGCGGAGGAGCTGGTGGGCAGGACGCCCCCTCACTCCGCGTAGGTGGCATCGTCGTTGCTGTCGCTGTAGGCGGAGGACGAGAGCTCCTCGCGCGGGGTGCAGGCGGGGCACCGCCGCCGCATGTCGTCCCAGCACGGCCGGCAGTACACGGCCGCGCAGTCCGGCGTCGGGCACACGTAGGCCTCTGGCGTCTCGGGCGCCTGGCACACCACGCAGCGCCCACGCAACCAGCGGCGCAGGAGCGGGCAGCGGCGGAGCAGGACGTCCGCCAGGAGGTGGCGCTGCCGGGAGCGAGCGGGAGAGAGGGCTGCGAGGGGTCCCGGACCGCGCGCCGCCTGGCAGCGCCCACGTGCTGGGCGCCCTGCAGGGCCAGGGTGCTAGGGCAGCGGGTGTAGAGAGCGTCCCTCCCCGGCTCGGTGATGGAGAATGGGGGTGCAGCTTCCGCTCCTTCCCGCAGCTACCACCTGTTCTTTCCCCGTAAACCACCTTATCTGGTTCTCACGGTGGGCAGGGAAGGCAGTAGGGCGTGCGAGATTATCACTGCTGTGTTCTCCGCTTTAGTGGCGGGAAAGCGGAATCTTGGGAGGGGTAAGCGAGTTCCCAAGGCGCACAGAGAGTAAGCAGTCAAACCTGGCTGGCCCCGGGCCCGATTCCTGATGACAGGTCTGGTTCACCGTGCTCCCACCCTCTCGCCCCACAATTGCCAGGCATTCCTCTCTGCAGGCCACCGAAACTACAGAGGCCCCACTGCAAAGGCAGAACTCCTGGCCTTGGCCTGCAGAGCCTTCTACGCTCTGGTCCCCTTCTAGCCTCTGCTCTAACTTGCCCCAGCTTGAACTTGGCATCTTCTGTGCCAGCCTCTCAGACTAGCCCCGGCCCTTGACATTCCCTCTGGGCTGTGAGTCTTTGCACATTCTGTTCCCTTAGCTTGGACGAATGCCCTTCATCTTTCCACCTGCCTACCCAAATCCAGTTTCCTTCTCGACCAGGTCATGGAATCACAGTATGCTCACTTTTTCATACTCATTTAGCCTCTCTGTGTCATGGGGTGGAGGATCTAGGCACTGGAGGAAAAGTCAAGCAAAGATGGTCTCTCACTCTCACCAGCTCTGTTGGGGCTGATTAAGAATGGCTGCCATTCTTTTCTTTTTCTTTTTCTTTTTTTTAAAATAATGTTGGGTCCTGTACTATGCTCTACTAAGAAAGTGTAAATAAATTAGCTCGCTCAAGCAGTAACCCCATAAGACAGGCATTGTTATCATCATTTCTCTTTCAGATGAGAAAACATGCTTGGAAAGGCGGTCACTTGCTCAGGGTCACATGATGACAACTAGCATGTGCATGGAACTTGCTAGATGCCTGCACTACAAGAGTGAGACTCCCTTAGTCTCCACAACAACCAAATGGAGTAGCAGCTCACTCCGGTTACAGAAGGGAAAACCAAGGCCCAGCATTTAGTCAGTCCTGCAGATCGCAGTTGTCATGGCAATAAAGAAGGGAGCCAGAACTCAAACCCAGGCCCTCTGACACCAGCAGCCTCTGCCACGCTGTTGCTGATCTCTGCACAGGCCTTGCACCAGGCTTTACACATCTGTCCAAGCTCCCTGTCCTTCAGAGGGAAACACTGAGGTCTGGTGAGGACTGTGGCCAAGGCCACACAGCTTAATGAGGAAGTGTGGACTGGAACCTGGTTCTTCTGGCTCTGTGCTTTTTCCTTATCCTATGTGACCCTTCATGGTGCCTTCCGGACCCCCCAGCCCGCCCGCCTCCCCGCCTCCCCCAAAGACACTCAGTAGATCCTGTGGCTTGCCTCCCGTCCCTTGTTTCTGAAGGAGCCCCCTTGCTTTCTTTTAGCCAGGCCATATCAAATCGGACTTCCCTTTTCTGCCTGCTTCCTGATGGCCCACTGAGTGTCTTGGGCTGGGCTGAATCCTGGGGGACAGAGGTGGACGCAGCCCTTACCCCAGGAGCTGGATGACCAGGGCCCTTGGCATGCATCCCATCAGAACTCGCTGAGCTCTGTAGGCCTGGGCCCCTGGGGCTGGACGGACTGACAGGAGAGGTCCCTGCTGCGGCCCTCACAACCACAGGAGCCACGGGAAGGAGGCCTGGACTTACTGGAGCCTTCTGCTGTTGCGCCCGCCTCAGGATGGCAGCCCTCCTCAGCTGCGTAAAGGCTGCCCTCTTCCTCAGCAGCTCATTGTAGAGGAACAGGATCCGCTTCTTCTCGCGCTGGGGCCAGGGAGAGGGGTCAGTGGTATGACAGTGCGCCCCTCAAGCTGGGGGGGTGCTGGGTGCGGGCCTGCAGAGCTTGGGGGAGGGAGCACCTTGGGGAAGTAGAAGGCGGCAATGACCCTCCGGAGCCGGTAGGCGAAGGCTTGGAGCAGACAGAGACACAGCAGCAGGCCCATGGGGAGGGCAGCTCTCACGTAAGCCCTGGCGTCCAGGCTCACGGGCTGGGGCAGGCAGGCTGTGGCGGGGTGGGCCTGTCAGGGCTCTGCCAGGGCCGCGGGCAGGGCACCTCTGGGCTGCTCTGCTCCTGCCTGCCCCTTTCCCTGCAGAGCAGCCCCTTCTGGCCCGGAGCTACCAGGCTCGTGAGGCTATTTGCTCAGCACGGCTCGGATGTGGAAGAAAGTTCTGTTGGACAGCGTGGCTCTAGGGCGCTGGGACCCCCAGGCCCCAGCCCCTACGGCCCTCGGACCCAAGGCTGTCATCTTCCAGCAACTCGAGTCCGACCTGACGCTTCCTGCTCTGATCCTTGCAACCCCAGCATGCAGAGCCCCCTCTTGCCACGCCTTGGAAAGACCCTGGCCCCCGCCCTCTGTTCCTCTGACCCAGATTTTCAGCGTCGCTCACCCATGTTGTTTGATTGCAGCCCTGTCTCGGAGGACGTGTTCAGGGCTCCAATGGTTTTCCGAAGAAGCCGGGCAAGCATGGAGTCCCCCCCGACTTTCACCTCCAATTTGTGGCTGCCTGAGGCCGTGGGGGGTCAGGAAAGGGTCGCAGTTTAGGGGGTGGGGCAGGATGGGGACTGGATGTTGGGGGGGTCAAGGCATAGAAATCCTTTGCTGCACGGGACCTTCCATCCGTTCACTCCCTGTTACAGATATAAAGGAGGCTTGGAAACAGAGGCCCCCAGGGACAGGTGTCGGATCGTAGGGCTGAGGTCGGACCCGGAGCAGGGGGGGGGGCGGGCGGGGGCCGTGGCTCACTGCGGAAGGAGTACTGCAGGAAGGAGTGGTGGCGGATGGTGTCAAAGATGGAGTAGAGGGCCCGGTCCAGGCCGCACAGCAGCAGAAGCAGGAGGAGAACGGGCAGCGTCTCCACGAGCTCCCTCACCTGCCCGAGGAGCGGCAGGCCCTGAGCCGGCAGCGCCGCCCGCCCTGCACGGGCCCCTCGATGCCCCGCCCCCGCCCCGCGGGGCCCGCCCCCCCGGCCTCCTCACCACGTTCCTCATCTCCGAGGCCTGCACCGAGGGGTTGCAGGGGAAGATGACGGTTTTCTTCTCGGCTTTGCGCAGTGGTAGCAATGTCCGTTTGCCCTGGATAAAATGTCCAGCCAGCGAGGGACACCAGGGCCCCCTCCCCTCGCCCCTCTGCCCTTCTGGAGCGGGAAGCCACAGAGGACGTGCAGCAGGGCACCCTTGGCCAGGGCTGTGCTCACTCACCAGCTTCCTCCTGCGCTCATCGATCTGACAGAAGTAGGTACTGACGTAGATGTTGTCAAATCGGATGTCGCCGTTATAGCTGTCCGCGTAGGAGAAGGCCCTGTGCGGGAGGACACGTCTGTGTCCTCCAGGTTCTCTTACCCACCCCCCACCATGGGCTTCCTGGACGCTCCGTCGTTCCCCAGAGCACCCAGCATGCGCCGAGCACCGTCTATGTCCTGGGCAGGGTGCTGCGCCAGCCCCCAGCAGGCCGGTGCAGGGCAGGCATCCACACAGGTGAGGAGACTCAGGTGGAAAGGCGGGGGGGTCGTGCGCCTGGGCGGGAAAGGAGGTTTCCCAGGCCTGCACCTGCTGGCAGGGTCTCAGGCAGAGGAACGAGCAGAAGCAAAGGCACAGGGAAGCGGGAAGCCCCTCAAGGCTGCAGAACCACCAGCCATTGCGACTGACTCCCACATCCACCTCTCCAGCGAGCCGGCCGAACATCCTCTGGAGGTCGCTTCAAGCAAAACTCACCCCCCACCTACATTTCCCTTCCCCCCAACACACCCTCTGGTGCGGCCGTGTTTTCTGTGCGTACAGAAGCGGCCCCCTGTGCATGTCCTAAAGTCCCACATAATGCTTCGGTTTCCTAAGGAAAACATGCTAATTATTGGAGATGGGTTTAAAACTGCAAGTTACTTTAAGTAAGCTCCGTGAGCTGTGAAACCTAAGTTCCGGGGGTTCTGGGACCCTGTAAAACGCCCCTCGGGCCCCGGACCGAACAGTCACGGGCAGGCCCGCCCGAGAGCGCCCCCGTGTGGAGAGGCCGGCGGCCGGCCCGCGCCCTGCCGGCCCCGCCCTCCCGCCCGCTCGGCCGGCCAGGGACCTCACCCAGGTTGAAAGCCTGGA